CCAGTGGAGCCTCCGACGGCCAGTCTACGGTCTCCGCCAGGCACCACGTGAGTGGCACGACACACTGAGGACTACGCTTGCGGCTCTTGGGTTTGCTCCCTCTACTGCTGACCCGTCGTTGTTTCTGCGCACCGACACCTCTCTGCCGCCGTTCTACATCCTCGTGTACGTCGACGACTTGGTCTTTGCCACAGCTGACACTACTGGACTCGCCCACGTGAAGTTGGAGCTGCAGAAGAGACACACGTGCACAGACCTGGGTGAACTGCGCAGCTACCTTGGCTTGCAGATCACCCGGGACAGAGCACGCCGCACCATTACCTTGTCTCAGTCACACATGGTGCAGCAGGTCCTTCAGCGCTTCGGCTTCACGTACTCCTCGCCTCAGGCCACTCCTCTGTCTACTCGCCACTCGCTCTCAGCTCTGCCTTCGGATGAGTCCGTAGAGTCGAGTGGCCCGTACCCAGAGCTTGTTGGCTGCCTCATGTACCTGATGACCTGCACACGACCTGACCTTGCATACCCTCTTAGCATTCTTGCACGCTATGTTGCTCCTGGGAGACACAGACCAGAGCACATGGCTGCAGCGAAGAGGGTGTTGCGCTACTTGTGCAATACTTCGGGCATGGGGCTAGTGCTTGGAGGGCAGAGTCCAGTGGTCCTCACTGGGCACGCGGACGCTTCTTGGGCTGACGACCAGGCTACTCAGCGGTCGTCCCAGGGTTACACCTTCAGTCTTGGTTCTGGCTCTGTTTCGTGACGGGCTACTCGCTCGTCCTCTGTTCTCGGCTCCAGTTGTGAGGCTGAGATCTACGCCGGGGCCATGGCTGCACAGGAGCTTCGCTGGCTCACCTACCTGCTGACCGACCTTGGAGAGTCGCCTCGTTCTCCTCCAGTGCTGTACGTAGACAACAAGGCCATGCTGGCCTTGTGTCGTGAGCAGCGCCTGGAGCACAGAACGAAGCACATTGCTCTCCGCTACTTTCTTGCTCGTGAGCTGCAGCAGCGTGGTCAGTTGTGACTTGCGTACGTGGCCTCTGAGGCCAACACTGCTGATGTTTTCACCAAGGCACTTCCGCCTTGTGATCATCAGCGCTTTTGCACTCAGCTGGGACTTGTCCCAGTCTTGCCTCACTTGCTCACCTCTTGACCTTGCTTGTACTCTTGCATATATATATATAATATATATATATACCTGCTCTTGTTTATTTAGCCTTATATATATCTGTCTACCCTTGCATGTGAACTGGCCTTGTGGCCTTGACCTTGTGCTCGGACTGTGTGGTGACTTTGTGATCCACCCTGAGCTTGCTTTGCTTTGCTTTGCTTGACTGGTCTTGTGACCCCTTGTTCTCCCCCACTTTGCCTATGGGGGTGTGTCAGAACATATAGCTTTTGCGTATTGTTTAGGCTATAGTGGGGTAGCCCAACAAGGGTACAACCCAATTAGGGTTAGTACTTGTACTCAGTTCATTCACAGTTCATTCATTCTCGTTCTCATTTTCTCACGGTATTGTTGTATATTCGATATTTATGCTCTATTGTGTTTGTTTACTACATAACATAACATAAAGCATGGCTTCCTCCGTCCTTATACCGATCCCAATATTGCATGTCCCAGAAATTAATTTCAACGTTCGTGCTTGATGCTGTTTTCCTAAGTATGATAAGTTGCGTAACTCCATTAATTCTTCACACATTATGCAAACACATAGCTAATTTGGCCTAATGGGCTAACATGCTGAAGTGTTACGAAATACAGACACAACCCTGTGTCTGGCGTTTCACTGTAACGCGTTAAACTCTGCACCATACACATCAACAACCACACTGGTCAGCCCCAGTCTTCAAATTCCACGGGACTTGGATTCAAAGAACGCCGACGATAGTGTGCGGTTCTGAGCTGTTTGCACATATCCAGAACGTTTCTGTTTGTTAAGTGGTAGGTGAACAAACCATTTCCTTGCGCGAGCTGTTCCAAGCTTGTTATTCTCCCACACCCCTCCTCACACTCCCCATTGACTGCGTGTTCCAGACGAAGGCAATGACGAGAATTATTTGCTCAATATCAGTATTTCGCTCTACCAGTCGCCTCGCCTTGCGGTTGAATCAGTGAACGAGATTTACAATCTTGCAGACACAGTTGATCCTATCAACGCGCACACGCGGCAACGGCTCACGAGCACGCAACAGCAACGAAGCTCCACCGTACGGCTCACGCGCGTTTGGGCAAAGCGTGCCGCGTGCAGGGCGTTCGGGCAAGTCCGACACGTTCGCCGGCCGCGGGGGTGTTCGGGCGTCGGCTCGAGCACACGGGCAGCGCGCGCGGAGAGCATCGATGGGGCCGCGTTGCGCCGCGGCGACGGGGAGGCGCGGCGACGTGCTGATGGCGGCGAGAGCGGCGGTGGTGGCGCTGGTGGTGGCGCGCTGCTGCATGCCTCTCGCACGCGCTGCTCCCGTGGTGGACGCCGAGAGTAAGCGTGATGCACGTTATTGATTCCCTCCACATCCTCCTTTTGACAGCCAGAGGTCCCTGGCAGTAAACGGCACGGTGCCATACCGCCCCAGGACCGTAACCCTATTCAGCATGTCATAACATGAAGTCCGTTCCGGCAACTAACCGTCACTGCTGTAAAGGGAGTCCCTTTACCCTCTCTCTGGTCCTCTCGCCTCTTCCCTGGAAAAAACCCCAACACGTTCTGTGGCATGGCATGCTGCATTGCCGGGGGTGTACGGCATGGATGCGTGGCATGATTGGATGGCAGTTGAAGCTTTGAAGAATCTGGCACAAGAATGGAACGAGGTCCAGGGTAGGGACACATGGATGAAGGGCAAGGATTGCGACAACATGGCTTACGTGGAGTGTGATGGTGATGGGCATGTCATTGCACTGTAAGCATGTCATTGCACTGTAAGCATGTCATTGCACTGTAAGCATGTCATTGCACTGTAAGCATGTCATTGCACTGTAAGCATGCCATTGCACTGTGAGCATGTCATTGCACTGTAAGCATGTCATTGCACTGTATGCATGTCATTGCACGGTATGCATGTCATTGCACTGTAAGCATGTCATTGCACTGTAAGCATTGCATTGCACTGTAAGCATGTCATTGCACTGTAAGCATGTCATTGCACTGTAAGCATGTCATTGCACTGTAAGCATGTCATTGCACTGAAAGCATTGCATTGCACTGTAAGCATGTCATTGCACTGTAAGCATGTCATTGCACTGTAAGCATTGCATTGCACTGTAAGCATGTCATTGCACTGGAAGAAGCACTTCATTTCACTGTATACCATGCATTCCTTGCGTCTGATTCCAACTACTTCTCATCTGTGAAATCATCTGTTGATTTGACCTCAGTTTACCGTCCTTTCATGGCATCCTTCTCTTCACCCACAATACACACACCTCACCACAGCTCCATTTACTCGTGCACCCTCGTCGGCACCCTGCCCTCTGCTCTCCTCGCATTGCCATATCTCAAGCAGCTGTGAGACTTGTGCTCTCGCACTCTCCCTTCCCCACTGGCCCTCAGTCGTTTCTTCACCCTCTTGCCCCCACTCACTTGCCCTTGCTTCTTGTTGCTTGTGCTGACTTGCATTTGATTTTCTAAACACGCCTGGTCCTGCCTTGCCTATTTCAACTCTTTCCCCTTACCCCTATTATCTCCTCCCATCCGCCCTTGTTTCTACTGCCCGTCCACCATCTTTGTGTGTTGCCTTCAGTGATTTGAAATTTTGCAATCAAATCCCTCGCTCGCTGCTTGATTCCAGAGAGGAATTGTCTTCTCCCATAGACATGTCAGTTCCATTTTTTCTCCCATGCACCTCTCTCTTCTCTCATGCACTTCCCTTCTTTGCGCACCTCCCTCATTTTCCTGCACATATGTCAGTTCCACCATCCACGTATTCTCGCGTGCACATCTCTTTTCTCATGGTCCACCTACCTAGGTCCACCTACCGTCCACCTACCTGCACGCTCCTCCTGCTCTCTTTGGGACAGACAGCAACAGCCCCACACCTGCTGCCTGCATGTGCGCGCCCAACTGCATGCCTACCGCCTGCCCCTTTTAGTGTGAATTGAATCGCCTCCACCCCAGCAACAGCCCCACACCTGCTGCCTGCACGCTCCTTCCACTCTCCCTTTTCTCCCCTCCACTCCCCCTTTTCTCCCCTCCACTTTGCTCCTGACAATCCTCTCCTCTCTCCCACCGCTTCATCTGCTCTGCTGCCGTCCTCCCTCTTTGCCCTCTTCCCCCTCTTTGCCCGCTTCCCCCTCTTCTCCCCTCCCTTCCTACGTTCTCCCCGCCGTGCGTGCTGTCGTCCCAACCATGCACCAGCGACGACCCTGTCCTGTACATGAGCGATCTCAAAGCCTCCGCTCTGCAGGGGCTGGCCAATCTGCATCAGCTCACTTACCTGTGAGTGCGCTGGCAGGACGAATGCAGGTGGTGATTGTTGTTCAGAATCCTCGAAAACAACCTTCAATTAGAAAAAAAATGCAGCAGCTCATTTACCTCTGATTGTGCTAGCGGGAGTGATGTGGGCAGGCGGGGATTCAATGAGTGGGTATGTGAATTCCAGCGCGAGGGGGTGAGTGCATGGTGGAGGTGGGAGAGTGAGAGTAAGGGATGCAGCAAGATGGCGCTAACATTGGTTACTCCAGCTGACGCTGTGTCAAACATTTCATGGCCCCTAACTTGCACGCCAACTTATGAACAGCCTCTGTTCAACCCTCCCTCTTCGCTTCAGTGCATACTGATGTTGCGAAACCCTTAATGTGCATGGATGGTGCATGCATGGTGCATGGATGGTGCATGGATGGTGCATGCATGGTGCATGGATGGTGCATGGATGGTGCATGGATGGTGCATGCATGGTGCATGCATGGTGCATGGATGGTGCATGCATGGTGCATGGATGGTGCATGCATGGTGCATGGATGGTGATTGATGGTGCATGCATGGTGCATGCACGGTGTATGCAGGAGTTTGATGGCAAGCATTCCAGTCGTATCACTACCAGAGCAGCTCTCCCAGCTGCAGAAGCTGCAGTCTCTGTAAGGCCGGGTGAGGGGCATGTGATGGCATGGGATGGCATGGGATGGCATGGGATGGCATATCGTGGCATGTGATAGAACCCGGATGCTCTAAGCTATGCTGCCTCCTTGTGCCATGCTCCCTCGCTTCTGTTGTTCTCCTCGCTCTTCATGTTCACCTTGCCCATCCTCGGGTTTGACATCTCCCCTTCCCAGCAGTTTCCCTGCTCTGTGCTCTTCCCGTGCCTGCCCCTTGCTCTTCTCTGCCCCTTGCTCTTCTCTGCCCCTTGCTCTTCTCTGCCCCTTGCTCTTCTCTGCCCCTTGCTCTTCTCTGCCCCTTGCTCTTCTCTGCCCCTTGCTCTTCTCTGCCCCTTGCTCTTCTCTGCTCCTTGCTCCTCCCTGCTCCGTGCTCTTTCCTGCTCCTCGCCTCTTGACTGCTCCTTGCCTTCTGCTCCGTGCCTCTCGACTGCACGCATCGTAAGACGCTTGGATGCTCAGCGTCGCCTGTCTGGGGAGCTGCCTGCGTGGATCTTCAGCCTCACAGACTTGACTTCACTGTGCGTGCTGCCATGCACCATCTGCCATGCCATGCACCAATCACCACCCTACATCACTTCCCATGCACATCGTACCCTTATGACCGTTTTCTTTATCTCAACTTCCTTTCCAACATTCTCAGTATACTCCAGAGTACCATACTGGTTCGCTTGAGGATGCTTTGATACCAGAGATTGCATTTTGCATAACACGACTCTGCACTGCTTCCTCTCCATTCTTGCACTGCGTTTGATCTCCCCTCTTCCATTTTACCTCTCTTCCCCGTACCTTCTCTTCCGACCTTCCCCATCCAATGATTCCTCTTCCCTCTACGCTTCCCCCCTGTTTCCGCCCAACCCTCTCCATCCACCAGGGATATCAAGGGCAACAACTTTTCAGGCTCCATTCCAGAGGCAATCAGCAGCCTCAAGCAGTTGCGGAAGCTGTGAGTGGTGGTGGGTTAGGCATGCAAGGTGATGTGGGGTGATCAGGTGTGATAGATCAATGAGTGCTTTTGAGTAATTGAGAGAATGAGAGAGAGAAAGAGGCCATGTGCTGTCATCAGCAAAAGTGCACAAAGCACTGCAGACACATGCACTGCCATGCTTTATCAACCTTCCCACACCCAACCTCCACCGCTCCCCTCCGCCTCTCCTCTCTGTGCTTCACCCCCCTTTGCCTCCTCGCCTCCATGCTGCTCCAAAGAAAACACTATAACCCCACTGGATCCCTCTGTGCCACACGTCACCGCACTGTGCCGCACATGATCGCAGACGCATCACGGAGCTAACGCTGTCAGGGTCCATCCCCGAGTCGATAGGAGCGCTCACCAACCTGCAAGATCTGTAAGGAAGAGGAATACCCGCATTGCAAGCCGTGACACTGGTACTTGGCGTTTGCTCTAGTCCTTTCCAAAAAGCCTCTTGTGTCTTTGCATGCAATGGCTCTTGTATTTGCCCTTTCTTACTTCCCTTAAGCCATGAGGATGACTACGCTGGTACTTTCTCCTCTCCAGCCCTTTTCCAATGTCTCTTATGCTTTTAGAAACGATTCTAAAAGCGATGGCAGGGCACACAATCTTCTCTTCTCGGTTGGGCAAACGATTTTCAGTTTCCCAACAAGTTTACTAGTGCAAAAGATGTTAACACATAGAATCTTCGAATCTCAGTTTGCTTGCATCAAAACCCAACCCAACCGAACTCCTCGCCTCAAATATCTACCTTTGCCTCAAAAATCTTCCACTTCACATCACGCTTGTGCTTTCTGTAGTTTCTTCCTTGCTTGTGTTTGTGCAACGTTTTGTTTCTTGTTTGCTTTTATATACACGTATTATCTGGCTTGTGGGACCCTCCAGTGCCGCTGGTCACTTCTCTTGACTCTAGTACTACTCAGTGCTCTAAGAACCCTAGACCAGCAGCACTGGCATGCGCTCTTACACATACCATGGGTGCTTCGTTCCCATCCTGTGCCATTTCGTGCCATCCCATGCCATGACATCACGTGACAGGGACTTGGAAGGCTGCGGCAGCCTGGATGGCACCATTCCCGCCTCCATTGGCAACCTCACCGCACTCACCTCCCTGTGAGCCCATTTTCTCTCTGCATGAACCTTCCCTTCTCTCTAATATCTGCAAAGTATGCCAATGAAAAGTAACCCTGCACTGCCCCCATGCATGGTGCATCCTCTCCGCTGCAGCCTTCCACCTTCCAACCGCTCCCTGCGGCTTAGTCATGATTATCCTTTCTGTCTTAAACCTACAATGCCCCCTCTTCCCCTTTCTACGCTACCCCCAACCATGGAGCATGGCGTCTGATCTAAAAGTGTAAGAAAGAAGCTCCAATGGCACGTCAGCCACACAGCAGCAAGCTTGAGAGAAAAAGAGGTGCTCAGAGTTATCAAAAAGCAGCTTTGAGCTGTCAGGGATAGTAAAATGAAGTATATGTATACATATATATATATATATGCATATATAGAGATGCTTATACGAATTGAGATAAATAGTGTGAGTGTTGCTACAAGAGCCAAGGGGTGGGGGGCGCAAGTGGCAAAAAGGGAGCAGGTTTGAGATGCCATAGGTGAGACGTTACTTTAGACTGGGTGGAAGGGGGGTTGGTTGGATGGGTTGCTGCGAGAGGTGAGAAGGGGGGGCTTTGTGGGCATTGTGAGAGGCAAGGAGGAGCTGGGTGGGGCTTGCGAGTGGCTAGAATAGGAGTTGTGTACGATATAAGTGGCGAGAGGAGGAGTTGGTTGAGAAGGGCGAGGGGGAGGGGAGGACTGGGGAGAGTTCAGCTGTGAGATTTGAGAGATAAAGGGGAAGGGTTGGGCTGTGAGAGTGGATGGAATTGGAGGGTGGGGTGGGGAATAGAGTCTGGAGTTGGGTTGTCGGTTGGTCAATTTGATGGAAAGGTGATTCAGTCCACTCAAAATCAGGCTTCAACTTGTATGCACTCTAAATCCATCAGACTTCACTAATCAGGAATTCTAAAAAGCCATGGTTGGAGGCCGATCACAGACTAATCGGACTGAATACCCTGAAATATTCAACCCTACTCTCCACCTTGTCCTTTCCGCCCTCTTCCCAACCTCTCCATGCCCCAGGAGTCTTCGTGAATGCTTTCTCTCAGGCTCCATTCCAGAGGCAATCAGCAGCCTCGGGCAGCTACAAAACTTGTGAGTGGTGATGCAAGGTGCTGTAGAGTGGAGTGGAGTGGAGTGGAGTAGAGTGATTCAATGTGATAGCCCGCTAGGCTCGTGCTGAGGGAGTAAACGGGTGGGGGAAAGTAAGAGGCTGAGACAGGGGATGGGTGGAACCATCTGGAAAGGAGCTTGAGCTAGATAGGATCGAGTAGAGTAGGTTTACTGGGCTGGAGTCTGAATTGAAGTAGGCTGTGGAGCTCAAGGCTCGAGGCTCTCAGCTTGAGATAGAGTTGGTTTACCAATTCTTGGGCTCCAGACTCATCTCGGTAGATCGAAATGAGTTGGGAAGGATGGGACGGGATTGGAATTCGATGACACTATGCAATAAGGTTGGTTGAAACCTCTGATTCGTTGGTTGAGTTGAGTTGAGTGCGTAAACAAGGGACCCAGGGGGCAAATGAGTGGATTATTGAGTGAGGGAGCGAGTGGAATAAACTTTGTCGGAGACTCAAAGGCTAGTTTGATTGAGGAATCCAACACTGGCGGTCTCTTGATCGTTGATCCATCTCTTGTTTCCATCCAGTACCTTGAATGCTCCACAGCCACCACATCTAGTGTAAGCACCTGAGCCTACTGTACCTTGTGCCATGCCATCCCATGCCATCCCACCCACACCCATGCCATGGCAGGGACCTCCAAAACAGCATGCTGAATGGCACCATTCCCGCCGGCATTGGCCACCTCACCGCGCTTTACACCCTGTGCGTGTGGCCATCTTTCCTTCGCCCTAAGCGTCCCCTCTCTGCGTTGCATTGCCACCAGGAATCTATCGTGAGAGCACAGACAAGCTGTCTATTCCATTCAGAGAAAGTACCCCCCCCCCCCACACTCATCATGCCACAGAAACCTTAAATACAACTTCCTCTCAGGCTCCATTCCAGAGGCAATCAGCAACCTCAAGCAGCTGGGGGAGTTGTGAGTGGTGATGGGGTAGGCATGCAAGGTGCCGTGGGGTGATCAGGCGTGGTAGCCCTTCAGTGGGTGAGCGGGAAGGAGAGTGAAAGGCCGAGGGGAAATAGAGTGGGAGAGAGTGTGAGTATGAGGGGGTGAGAGGGTGAGCTATGAGTTATTTCCCTGGCCGTCCATCCCATCCCATCCCATCCCATCCCATCCCATCCCATCCCATCCCATCCCATCCCATCCCATCCCATCCCATGCCATCCCATGCCATCCCATGCCATCCCATGCCATGCCATGGCAGGGAGCTGAAGGACAACAGCCTGAGTGGCACCATTCCCGCCTGCATTACCCACCTCACCGCACTCATCACCCTGTACGCCCATTCTCTCTCCACTCTCTTCCTCTCCATGCCTTTTTTCCACCTGCATCTCTCTGCCAAGCATGGGGAATTTGAGAGGGTGGGTGGGATGAGAATCGGAATTGGGGGGATGGTGGGAAAAGAAGGCAATCAATAGGAGAGTACTCACCTTTCACCAACAGCACTCACGGAGGCTTCCACAGAGGCATCTCTGCCTTCTCATTTCCTCCTTATTGGAAGTGGACACTGGAATGGCCCGAAGTGGTCTCCCTAAGGGCTACAGGTGTCGTCCTGGGGGGGTAAGGGTGCGCTGACCCACCAAGGAAACATGCCCTTTTATTCCAGTTGGTTTTGCGGACTGGTATGCTATCCCTGCACTCCTCATTCCTCTTCTACTTTTCTCCTTCTCTCTTCTCCTCTTCTCTTCTCCTCCTATTCTCTTCTTCTCCTCCGCTCCTCCTCTCTTTTCTGCTCTCCTCCTCTCACTTCTTACCCTCTCCACCTCTCTTCTCATCCTCTGCCGCTTCTCGTTTTCCCCTCGTCCCCTACTCGTCTCTCCGTCCCTCCGTGACCCATCATTCACCCGTCTTCAGTAGTCTTGACAACAACCGCCTTGTAGGGACGATACCTGCTGCAATCACCACGCTCACCAATCTTGTATACCTGTCAGTCAGTGTTACCTCTGAAAAGTTGTCACCACACTCAAAAAGTCATCTCTGAGTGTTGATGTAAACAATTACGTCGTTTTAAACATGTCAGGGTTCACTGCTGAGTCGACTTGAATGACATGCTTTGCCAGGTCACCTCTTGTAAAGGGTTTTCAGAAGCAACCATCTGCATTCAATTGTCATCCTGTGCACTCATCTCCAATAACTGTCAGCGTTACCCATCTCTTCTCCTCTCAATGAAACGCCACCCACACATCTCTTACTTTCTGCCACCCACACGTCCCTTCCATGCCATCCCATGCCATCCCATGCCATCCCATGCCATCCCATGCCATCCCATGCCATCGCATGCCATCCCATCCCAACCCACCCTCCCATCCCGTCCCATCCCATCCCACCCATCCCGTCCCGTCCCATCCCATCCCATCCCATCCCATCCCATCCCATCCCATCCCATCCCATCCCATCCCATCCCATCCCATCCCATCCCATCCCATCCCATCCCATCCCATCCCATCCCATCCCATCCCATCCCATCCCATCCCATCCCATCCCATCCATCCCATCCCATCCCATGCCGTGCCATGCCATGCCATGCCATGCGATGCCATGCCATGCGATGCCATGCCGTGCCATGCCATGCGATGCCATGCCATGCGATGCCTCTTCTCCTCTACCCTCTTCCCCTCTGTTTCTTTCCTTCCTTCCCTCCATGTCCCATCATCCGCCCCTCTCCAGTGGACTTGGCAACAATCGCCTTGCAGGGACGATGCCTGCTGCGATCACCACGCTCACTAATCTCCAATACTTGTCAGTAATGACATGTTCCCTCCTCGTTTGTCACTACACACATGTCATCTCTGAGTGGTCGTGTGTACACCCCATGCACTCATCTCCAAACAAGAACCAGTGCTACCCATAACTCTTTGTGGCTTTTCTTCTCTGTGGAACAGCATCCCTACTGCCCGCATCACCTCGTTTTCTGCTACCCCAGCCTCTCTTTGCTGGGGCCTGCACCTTCAGGAGTGCCAACCTCGCCAGCCTTTTTCAATGAATGCCATCCACGCGCTTCCTCCCACGCTCGCTCCGCCGTGACACCACTCACTCTCCACTTCCCTCTTGTGTCAACACCTTTTCTGTAGATCCACCTTACTCATTGATTAATGATTTGGAATCACTTTCTGCTTAGCGCCCTTTCTAGCCATTCTGTCTATGCCTAACAAGTGATGATAGACGAATCAAAGCCTAAGCACGTCAGCTGATTGCACCCAATGTTGACAACACGGAAAGTGGAATCGACGGCTCAAAAGTCCCTCTCACACAGCGTTGACAGAAACAACCATCCCATTCATTACGCACATGTTACTCCTTTCCCATCACTCCATCGTTCCCTTCACTCCCTCTTTCCATCACTCCCATTCCCCGCCACTACCTTCCCAATCTTCCCCTCCCGCCTTTGCTTTGGCATCACAGCAACTTAGAGGGCAACCAGTTGACGGGAGAGTTGCCCTCGTTCGACCATACGGACCCTTTTGATTCGTTTATTGGGGACCCTTTCAATGACAGCAACAACAACAACAATGACCTTCCCTCCTTGGAAAGCCTTCCCTCCTTGGAAAGCCTTCCCTCTTTCAACGCTACCAGCCTTGACGAAACTCTACAGCAGGACAGCTTGTGTATGTTCCTTTTCGACCATCAGCTCGTTCGAGCTACCTAAGAACTTGCATTTCATGTCCTCCAAAGTCGCCTGCTTGCCAATATGCCGGCTTTCTCTGCATCAATACCCAGCAATCTTTCTCCAATGTGCTGCTTCTGTACATACCCTCGCTTCCTCCCCCTCCTCATCCACCATACAGGCACCAACCCACCCTGTGAATCACCAGGCCCTGCAGTCATGGGAGTGGTGCTGTCTGTTCTTCAGGCACCTCAAAACCTGCTGCTGCTGCTGATGCTTCCACTGGC